CGGAAGAGCGGGAAAGGCTGGAGAGGCCTGGGGTGGAAGCCTTCCTAAACCCTGAACCCTGAACCCTGAACCCTGAACCCTGAACCCTGAACCCTGAACCCAAACCTGAGAGGGACCTGAAGGTTTTGGGTTCGGGGGTTAAGAACCCTGAACCCTAAGTCCGCGAGTTTTGGGTTAGAGAGTTTAGGGTCGAGGGTTGAGGGTTTAGGTTTTTTAGACCCAGTAGGAAAACCAGCATGTGATGTTAAACAACCCTAAATCCTACAATAGGGACGACAAAGACTTTCAGGTTCTGCGGCGATCTGAGGATCAACATTTGTCAGATCTCTGCTTGAGATCCCGGTTTAAGGCTTAGGGTGTATAGGGTCTAGATAGCTTGTGTGTGCGTGTGTGTATGAGCGAGTGGACACTCGGGCAAGCGGGCACACGCGCGGGCGCGGGCGCGCGTGTGTGCGTGTGGGTGTGTGGGTGTGGGTTGGTGGGTTATATCTCAACCCTCTTAAGCCGAAGCCTTCAAAACCCCCAACACCCTAAACCCTCAAAAACCCTCAACCCTCAACCCTAAACCCTAAACCCTAAACCCTAAACCCTAAGCCCTAAACCCTAAACCCTAAACCCTAAACCCTACACCCTAAACCCTAAACCCTAAACCCTAAACCCTAAACCAGCCTTCGGGTTTGTCAGAAACTCGTCGTGCCTTTTTGTCCCTCCAGGGATCGCCGTCTTCGCGCAGCGGGCTGGGTGTGACCCTCAGACGCCTCTGTATGGAAAGCATGCGGGGCTAGGGTTTAGGGTTTAGGGTTTAGGGTTTAGGGGTTAGGGTTTAGGGTTTAGGGCTTAGGGCTTAGGGTTTAGGGTTTAGGGTTTAGGGTTTAGGGTTGAGGGTTAGGGTCTAGGGTTTAGGATTTAGGGTTTAGGGTTTAGGGTTTACGGCTTAGCGCTAAATCATGGGCCCTTCGGGGAGCGAACTACTCCTTCTGAGCGTGGGTCTTGAAACTCTACATGTCGCTGGCAGCTTACGCTGGTGCACACATGATACTTAGAAACTCTTTTGACTTAGCAAGTCTACTAAGTATCCCCTAGAAACCTTACTAACTCTGCTTACTAAGTCAAAAAGGATTCCAAGCACCCTGTATCTAAATGAACATGTAGGTTCGTGCAGACAAACACACGCAGACTCTCCCCATCTGCCTGCCCTAAACCCTAAGCCCTAAGCCCTAAACCCTAAACCCTAAACCCTAAACCCTAAACCCTAAGCCCTAAACCCTAAACCCTAAACCCTAAACCCTAAACCCTAAACCCTAAACCCTGAGCCTGCTGTCAGGCCCGGGTGTGCGCGAACATCGGCGTGCTGCCAAGTGACTCGAAGTTGCTGGCTGGCGAGACAGCGCCCGACCCAAACAGAGCCTCTCCAAAAGCCCGGGTTTAGGGTTTGGGGTTTGGGGTTTGGGGTTTTAGGGTTTGGGGTTTGGGGTTTAGGGTTTAGGGTTTAGGGTTTTTGGGGTTTGGAGTTTGGGGTTTAGGGTGCAAGGGTGCAAGGGTGCAAGAGTTGTACTTAGATTTCCTAAAGCCACAAATCTCCAACCTGAAGCCAACAGTTGTCTCAGGCTAACTCAGGAGAAGCAGCGCTAAGAAAGAGAGGTGGGCTTAGGGTTTAGGATTTAGCGTTCAGGGTGCAGGGTCTAGTGTTGCTTGCTCCCATGGATCAACATGGTCCATGGTGCGCAGAGCCACGGATCCCGAAGCCCTTGAAAACCCTGAGCCTTAGCCCTAAACCCCAAACCTTAAACCCTAAACCCTGGCGGGTCCACAACAGACCCGCGCAAAACTGTGGCCCCACCAGCAAACCTGACATGCAGGACTTAGGTCACAGCCTTTAGTGTTGAGAAATGACGCCTTTTCTGCTCCCCAGGGCGCCTACAAGCAAGAACTTCCAACCATTTCTGCCCAGAAGAAGGTTTAACCTTCTCGGAACGGATTAGACGATGTAGACCATGGACGTCATCATGCTTGGGCCATGGCGGCCATGGATGCTCTCTTCTCATCAGAGCAGAAGAGACCATGGACGTCATCATGCTTGAACCCTGGATGCTCTTCCCAGAACGGAGTAGACCATGGACGTCATCATGGTTGGGCCATGGCAGTGCAGAAAACATGTGGACCATGGACGTCATCATGCTTGGGCCATGGATGCTCTCTTCTCATCAGAACAGAGTAGACCATGGACGTCATCATGCTTGGGCCATGGATGATCTCTTCCCAGAACGGATTAGACTATGAACGTCATCATGGTTGGGCCATGGATGCTCTCTTCTAACTATGCTGAAGCAAACGTGTTATTTAGACCCAGGGCTGGGCAGAAGCGGATGCAGACAAGACAGGGCTTAGTTTAGGACACGTCGAAAGTGCGAAGTAGTGCAAAAAACCCACAAATACCAGTGTAGTCTACGGATGCCCAAAAAAATGCAGGATAATTTTAGATAAAAATTTTGGGGATGGGGTGATGGGTGAAACCCCGCAAACATCGGTATTTACAGGAGATTCTGAGGGCAACAGAGCTAAACTGCCGAAAAAGCGTGGGTCTGTTATGGCCCCGCCCAGCCCTAAACCCTAAACCAGAAAAAAAAACCTAAACCCCAAACCCTAAACCCTAAACCCTTGAAAACCCTGAGCCCTACCCTGAGCCCTAACCCGGTGAGCCCAAGGGGCAGGGCATGGACCCATAGATGAAGTGTTCAGGGGCTAGTCGGCTTTCAGGTTTAAGAGTTTAGGGTTTAGGGGTTAGGGTTTAGGGTTTAGGGAACCACGGAATGGCTTTCAGAGCTTCGGGCTTAGGGCAAGTCATGGCAAAGGCTTCGGTGTAGCAGACATGTGTACCTTAGTGGGGTCCTTTTTTTAGGAGATCCTACGGGTTCGGAACGTTCTAAGGGCCAACCTAGTCGAGTGTGTGGACTTCGAGTGTAGCCGGGGCTTTGTGAGAGCTGAGACCCACGGGGATAAGAGTACCCTGCTGCCCCCGACCCCCCAAACCCTGAGCTCCTAAGCCCTAAAGCCACGAACCCTAAACCCTAAACCCTAACCCCCTTACAGGCAAAAAGCAAGAACCAGCGCCTCCGTGTGCGTGCATGCGCCTGCAAAGACCCTGAGCTAGTTGGAGGTTCATGGTACTTATTAGCCAATTATATCTGTACTTAGCCACTGTACTTACCGTATTACGGGCTTATAAGTGGGTGTTAAGTACAGCTATAATTGGTAATACGTACCATGAACCTCCAAGTAGGTTTACCCCCGCCCTAAGATCCGATCGCCTTAAACCCGCCCAAGATGGCTCAAAGACTGGAGCCTCTAACTTAGGGTTCAGGGTTTCAGGGTTTAGGGGTTTAGGGGTCTAGGGGTTTAGGGGTTTAACCGGGGTTTAGGGGTTTAGGGGTTTAGGGGTTAGGGTTTAGGGTTACAACCCGGAGTATATGTTATATGCTCTGGCCCTTCATGGGCGGAGGTGTCTGAAGTATCTTAGCGCTGTAGGTAAGACTTTTGGGCTACCTACGTATTCCCCCTTCTTGGCTTTAAGAGGATCGTACCTAGGAGAATCTTCAGAGGCCTTAGGTAGCAAGGGTACTTGGGGGGGGGGGGCTAGGTGACGCCCGGAACCCGAAACCCCGATCTCTCGCGCAATTTGGCGGCGGCAAGCGGACGAGTGCCCCTGTCGCGGCTGCACCATGCAGGGTCTTCCGGCCTCTTGGGAGCGCATATAATAGGGTTTAGGGTTTAGGGTTTAGGGTTTAGGGTTTAGGGTTTAGGGTTTAGGGTTTAGGGTTTAGGGTTTAGGGTTTAGGGTTTAGGGTTTAGGGTTTAGGGTTTAGGGTTTACGGACATCTGGTCGTCCCGCGTCATGAGCCCTAAACCCTAAACCCTCTTTTAGGGGTGTTGTGGGACGAGTAAAGCTTTGGGGCATTAGGGGTTCCCGAGTGCCAAGCTAGGGAAGCGCGCAAGACATCCACAAGCAGCCGACAGTCTTTAGGGTTCAGGGCTTAGGGTTTCGGGTTTAGGGTGCCATCCACCCCTATACGAACCCCCCCTAAGCCGCGCAGCCCTCGAGGCGGTGGTCTTTCTGGCTTTGGCCGGCTGCGGCGGATTTCTGTCGGCGACGGGCGCCAACATTTTGGCGTGGTCGGCCTTCCGGACGCGCACGACTGGAAAGCAATGGTCCAAGTTGCAGGGCACCGGGTTCGTCCTTGCCCTTTGGCCTGTTGAGGGGGGCATCCTGGGGTGTGGAGTTTTCAGGTTTAGGAGGTAAGCCGCAACCCCAAACAGCTAGTAAACTAAACCCGAAACCGCAGGCTTAGGGGTTGTGACCTTCATGTATCGTTATATTTGGGCCCAGCAGTATGTTCCCTATCGCAAGAAGGAAAATGGGATAGTTCAAGAACTAGGGGTACCTGTTGGGGGTTCAGGTTTCAGGTGCATAGCCTCTCTCTCCCCCAAAATACAGTCGAATCCTTCTGAAAAGGGCTCGAAGAAGCAACCCAGTGTTGTTCGGAGCCTTTTTTGTCCCCAACACCTATATGAACTTAGGACCCCGTTGCTACCCTATGGATCCTAAATCTAAACCCCACCCCCACCACCACCTTACCTTACTCGAAAGCAGACCCCCCCCCCCCTCCCCGGTAAACCCTCAACCCAAGGGTTTAGGGTTTAGGGTTTAGGATTTAGGATTTAGGGTTTAGGGTTATATCAAGGATGTCAATGATCTGCTTGGTTTAGGGTCTAGGGTTATCATCGTATATATGTACATGTGCAGGTACATATGTCATAATATAAGAATATGACATATAGGTATGTATACATAATAAAGTGTACACATATATATACATGTATCTAAGTATATATATATATATGCAGAGAGAGAGAGAGAGGGAGAGAGAGAGAGAGAGACCCTAAACCCACCCGCTTCGCAGGCCTGCACGCTCCTGAACATGGCCGGGATAGCCCTCTTCGCCATGTCGACCGCGCTCGGAGGTGGGGTTTAGGGTTTAGGGTTTATAGGGTTTAGGGTTTAGGGTTTAGGGCTACTCTTGCGCACCCGTGGAACCCTCTAGTGTTGACACTTTGCAGGGAGTAACCAGAACTTCAAACCTCACTGTCGCCCCAAAAGAGGCGCGGTGGCCACGGTCATGCCCGTGCAGACTGGGGCGAACATCCTTGGTCCCCTTGGCCTTGGGTTTGGGGTTTTGGGTTTGGGGTTTTGGGTTTAGGGTTTAGGGTTCGGGGTTTGGGGATCAGGGTTTGGGGTCTGGGGTTTCGGGCTGTAAGGGACCCTTTAATGCAGAATCTTCGGGACCTTGACTCGGTTCCTTTCTCTCGGATAAACCCTAAACCCTTAACCCCAGACTGGAATCTTGAGGTAACATGTTCTGGCAGACCATCCTGGGCATGAAATACTACAACAAGAGCATGCGCGTTGGCACCCTTGTGCTGGTTCTCTCCGTGGCAGAGCTGTCAGAAACTGAGGGACTGGGTAGGTAGCCTTTTTAACCATTTTGGTTTAGGGTTTAGTGTTTGGTTTAGGGTATCCTAGTGCAAAGGTTAACTTTTTTGTTGGCTGGGGTATGTCAGTTTCTAAGGAAATTGGCCCGAATGAGCCAGCCGAGCTCCCGGTGCTGGAGCTCATGTCAGAACCTAGGACTCAGAGCAGGCAATTTTTTTTCGGCTTAGGGTTTAGGCTTAGGGTTTAGTGCTTAGGGTTTAGGGTTTAGGACCCGGAGAGTAGGCCCGTATTTCCTTGTTTTAGGGGTTGGGGGTTCCCCTATACTCCCCCTTGAAACCAAAATTGTGGTAACCTTTTTATTCCTAGGTTACTCCTGGGTCTAGGAACCTATCGCTATTGCTTGGACCGTGTTTCTGGCTTTGAGCACGTTGGTAGCGGTATATGGGACATACAAAACCTACCGCTACCCAATCGACTCGACCGCGAAGCTTCTGTGCTTCGTGTCCGTGGTGACGCTGACCACCGTGATCGGGGCCTCAGTCGGAAAGTTCTTCCTGTGGCTTGGTAGCCCAGTGGTACACGTTCGCCCCCCTTTTTTTGGTTCAAGGTTCCTTTATTATAAAGTAGCAAACCCAACAAAGCCCTAAACCCTAGGGTTTAGGGTTTAGGGTTGAGGGTTTAGGGTTTAGGGTTTAGGGTTTAGGGTTTAGGGAAAACCTAAGGTTGGTGAAGGGTGCGGCCCTCGCCTGTGTGATTTGCCTGTACTTTTTGGATGGAGTTTTCTGCATGACGTTCACGGTGCTGGCCAACGCCCAGTGCGACGTGGCAATCTATGTCCCTGCACAGCTGTCGTCCCAACTGATCGTCAACATGCTCACAGGATACTTGGTTTGGGGCGACTCCAAGTATGTGGAGCACCCAACTGCCTACCTCCTTGTCTCTTTATCCCCCTTGGGAAATATTTTTATATTTTTGTGTATATAAAAACCAAGAGGATATTCAACATACTATAACTTTAATCTTATTTTTGTGTATATAAAACCCAAGAGGATATGAAGAGTACTATGTTTACTAAGGTTCTAAGGGGGAGTATAGGTCTACGGCCTTTGCATCATGGGCGTTTACCTGAACAGCGAGATGGACATCATCGGTGACTGGACGAGATCTTACAGCATCCGGAACTCCATGCTTCTACATCCCCCCTTGGGAGTTGTTTTTTTTCATCCTTGTTTATCTAAAACCCTAAACCCTAGACCCTAAACCCTAAACCCTAAACCCTAATATTATGTTTATTAAGGTTCTAAGGGGAGTAGAGGCTCTCGGAGGGCCGGGCCTACAGCCGCTTTGGCCACTCCGTGCTCACATTGCTCCTAGGCCTGCATGTCATGAAATCTTCAAGTCTTCCCCAAACCCTAAACCCTAAACCCTAAACCCCAAACTTTCAGACCCCCAGACCCCAAAGCCCACTGTGCCACTGGTGGTAGGGAACGGGGGGCCGACTCAGCGCCCCTTCTGTCTTGAGATGTGTTTCTGAGGGTGGTCCTTTGTTTCCAAAATTTTGGGTTTTGTGTTTTGGGTTCTGGGTTTTGGTTTTTTTTTTTTTTTTTGGGGGGGGGGGGGGGGGGGGGCCTTGAAGGGGGATTCTACGATGTCTGAAGCGCACGAAACGTTTAGAGCAGCCTCCAAAGTATCCGGGATGCCTAAGCTACGGTCATGGCCCGATTTATCATTGCCGTATTTAAGGCTGATCGGTTGAAGGGTTTCGGGCTTCAGGTTTAAAAACTTGAGGACCGTAACTGAACGAACCCATAAACCCCAAACCCTAAGCTCCAAACCCTAAGCCCGAGAGCCCAAACCCTGACACACGAGAGGTTCCTTTGTCTAAAAGATGTTGTTTTAGAACCCTCTTCTCTCTTTGCCCCCCCCCCGTTTCAGTACACACCTAAACCCCAAACGAAGCTATATTCGGGGATCCGAAGTCTGGCCCTTAATTTGCCTTGCTATATCACCCTTATCTACACTGTGTTCAACAAGTGCCCATACTTCGGATCCCAAAAAAACAAGGGTAAGGGCACCATGGTTCCGACCTCACATAGAAAGCCTCAACAAGCCTAGCAATGTAGAGCCCCGCAAGACCGCGAACCCAAAACCCCTAAGAACTTGAACCCAAAAACCCCGAAACCCTAAACCCCTAAGTAAACCCTAAGACCCGAAACCCCTAAATCCCGAAATCCTAAGCCCCTAAAACCCTAAACTCTAAGCCACCCAATCGCCCCGAAGACCCTAAACCCTAAACCCTAAACCCTAAACCCTAAACCCTAAACCCTAAACCCTAAACCCTAAACCCTAAACCCTAAACCCTAAACCCTAAACCTACACACCTGAGACCTGGAGAATCTCGAAGCCATCAGGTTGGGTACGTGGCAACGTGGTGCGCCTCCCACGGTGGAGAATCAGGCTTCGAAACAAAGGACCTTTTTTGGGTGTTAGGGTTTTGAGTTTAGGGTTTAGGGTTTAGGATTTCGCGTTTAGAGTGCTTTACTGTAACTTTAGATCCTTAGCCTTTTTGGGTTTATTGGGTTTCTTAATATGGAAGCTACAAGTTTAATTTATAGCTGCCCTCCTAAGCGCAGGCAAGCTTTTAAGGTGTTAGGGTTTGGAGTTCAGGGTTTAGGCATTTAAGGTCTTAAGGTTTTAGGGCTTCGTGTAGAGTTTTAGGGTCTTACGGTTTAGGGCTTTCGGGGGGGTTTGGGATTTCGGGTCAGGGCTTCAGGGGCTCAGGGTTGAAGGTCGGCGGCTGCAGGGTTTAGGTTTCGGGTTCTGGGGCTTTGGGGTTTAGGGCTTAGCGATGTTGGGGGGTTTCAGGGTTCAGGGGTTTAGGGTTTTGGGGGGTGGCCTCGGGGTCTTTGTGGTTCATGGCTTCAGAAACTAGGGTTTAGGGTTTAGGGTTGAGGTTCGGGCATCTTGGGGTTCATGATGTGACCGCTTGCGCGAGTCCCACCCGGTTGAAGAAGCGTGGCAAGCAGCTCTGTGACACCCCTTTCTGGGTGGAGTGACACCCCCGAGCCCTGCCCCTGGGTAGTCCGGGCCGGAGTAGCTCCAAATTTTGGGCAAATTTTGGGGAGTTTGGGGTTTAGGATTTAGGGTTTAGGGCTCCAGGGCTTTAGGGGCAAGCCCCAAACCCGAAGCTTGGGTGGGTGGCCTGTGCTTCACAAAGAGTGAACGGCTTCAGACTCTTTAGATTCCTGTTCCCTGTTATATCATGCACGTGCCGTATGCCCCCACGTGCTGGAGTGGTGGTGGTGGTGCCATATGAACCAGAGTTTGTAGTAGTGTATTTAGAGTTCCTGTATATATAGTGGTGAGTGTACACAATGGACTCCCCCAAACAAATCTGGACGCTCTGCAAACACCTGCCCTGGAACATCCCCTAAACAAATTGCGAGGGTCCTTCAAGTATAAGTGTTTGGGCTCAGTTGAAGTCAGATAAACCCGGCCTTTAAGCCTACACCCTAAACACAAACCTTGAGCACATACCCTTCAAAAAGACCCACCCCCGGAGAAACAAAATTAAGCAGAACTTGTGATAATCGCGGGTGGCCCCAGCAAACTGAGTTCGCAGAATAATTTGTCGAAACCGGTGATTGTAGAATTTGGCTTTGTTAAAGCCAGCGCAACATTAGTGGGTGTCCTTTTGGGGGCACAAACAATATAATCCCCACTTCATATAGCAGTGCCGGAAAAATGCCCTGAACTCTGAACCTTACACTCTCTCTCCTAGGTGGGATAAGGGGGGACCCTTAAAAGGGAACCCCTTCTTAACCCTCTTCTGGCTCTCTTAACAAGGGACCTTACTCAGAGGGTCTATATCCCCAAGGGTCCCCCTAATCCTATCCCCTACACTCACCCTCGCCAGGCCGAGCTTCGCAATCTGCTCCAGCTAGGTTTGGAGACGGGAGCGTTGCAACCCGGACTTTGGATGGGGCTTTTTTTTTGGGGACGTTTGGGGGTGTCTTACAACAAACCCTAAACCCTAAACCCTAAAACCTTGTAGGAAGCCTTAAGAAACCTTAAACTTTAAAGCTTGAGGCTCAGGATCCCAGGGCTTAGGGCTTAGGTGCGCAGGGTTGTGTAAGGGCCATAAATGTTAAGGGCGCAAGCGCCCGTGTGCGCCAGCGCATGTTGGGCTTGGCTTCCAAAGTGTTGAGCAACGCCTGAGTTTAAGTAAACTGAAGAAGAGTCTCATGAAGCCTTGTTGTGATTTTGACCATTTTGAGCCTTCCCCGACCCTCAATTAGGGGAATTTCACTAGTGTGGCGGCCTTGAAAACCAATTTCTGTTTGTGATTTTGATTGTTTTGGGCCTTCGCAGACTTTCAACTAGGGCCAACAAAATATAAGGATTTTCCTTCCCTTGGTGCTGCCTTGAGAACCTTGGGCCAATTTTGATCATGTTTTGCCTTCACAAACCCTTTTCACTAGTTAGCGGCCTCGGGCGGCCTTCAACACCCCCCAAATGGCGAATTTTGGAATTTTCTAAATATTAGGATTTTCGCTCGTTTGGCTGTGTTGAAAGCCCTCCAAATGGCAAACTTTTAGTGATGTTTTGACCATTTTGCACCTTCACAGACACTCAATTAACTCCAAAAAACATAGAGATTTTCGCTCGCTTGGCGGCCCCATTTTTATGATTTTGACTATTTTAAGTCTTTAGAGGCCCTCAATTAGGGCCAAAACATACGGATTTTCGCTAGTTTGGTGGCCTTTCCCCACATGGCCAACTTTTGTGATTTGACCCTTCATTAGGGCCAAAACACAGGGATGTTCGCGAGTTTCGCAAGTGCTTGAGCTCGACTCGCTCAACCTGACTGCAGCAGAAGCCAGTAAAGCCAAGCAATCAACAAATCCCAAGTCAAGAAACGCCGATCCCTGTCAACGAATGAGACGTGGACACCTCCTGGCAGAGCCGAAGGCGCTTCGCTGAAAAATGGCTGAAGCACCGCACCCCTGGGCCCAGAGCCCGTGTTTTCTCAACTGGTCGTCGAATCTGTAAGTACCGACATCAGCACTCCTCCTTAGAGGGATCCCCAGCAAACTGGGTGAGGAACAAGCATGGAACCCGAAGAAACGAAAGAATCCATCCGAAAAGGTGAAGTGTTCAGGGGTGCTTCGAATCCATGCTCAAGCCCCTTAAGCCCTGAGCGTCAGTGAACTGGGAAACGACCACGTCTTCCCCAAAGCTGGGCTCGAGCCACCTTTCAGAAGTGGGGGGAAGCGGATCCCGAACATCTCCAATTATCGCCATGCCCAAAGCCGTCGGATCCCCAAGTCGCATTCGCATGCATCGCGGTGATCGTGCTCACCTTCGCTACCGAAGGCGGCAGGCGTCAAAAAGGGCGCTTCGAAAAGAAGCGAGCCACGACTCAACGCGTGCGTGGCCGCTTCCGTTTTCCAATCTACACACAACAGAGCGATGGCTACGGAACAGGAAGATCGATGTCGTGGTCTACAGAGGCTTCGGAGGAAACTCGACCACGGCGCACGTACGATTCCTAGCAGGGCTTTCTTAATCGTTAATGCAAGATGCGTGTTTCTCTCTTCCACATGTTTCCGAGGTCGACTGCGGGACCAGCGTCTTCCACGTGGCAGAGAAGCTCGCGAAGGAGTGGTTTCGGCTACTCGGCTGCGAAGCAACAGCATGAACCCACGCGGTGCTGTTGCGAGAGACCCCTTTTGAGAAGGCGAGAATCAGCCCTTCAAAATCATCCTGCCAAACGGCGAGGATGGAGAAGAAGTCCAGAGCTCAGAAACGCTCGCGAAGGGTATACACAGTGAATCTCGCAATTATGGCATTTTCCCGATTGCATAAGGCTTCCCAAGTAGATCCCGGTGCCGGTTGCTATTGCAGCTGAGGTCAGCACAATCGAAGCGTTCTTGGCGAACATCTTCGATCCAGAGGTGGGCCCGCAGACCTTGACGCCTCATATGGATCCTTGATGCCCCTCGCTGGGCGATTTTGTAAGAGAGCACGTGTCAGGCGCCGCCGCCTCCGGACGCAACACCTGGGGAGCAGGCAGCGCGTCCGGAATTCTGTGTTGGATGTAGGGATGGATGTTCGGGGCGCCAACCAGATTTCTGCAGGCTCCATATGGGACCTTGCTGCCCTACCCGTCCCATCCCGATCCATCATCTATGGGTGATCGCCTTCAGCAGAGGAGGGCGAACGATGTTTCGAGAACTTCGGGTTTTTGCTTTTTACGATTCGGGGGATTGAAGCTGTTTGTGGAGCATTCGGGTTTGAGGACATGACGCTTCGACTCCAGAAGTCCCTTGCCCACACAGAACCTACACCGAAACCTTTCAAAAT